TATTCTCCAAAAAAATTGTAAACATTGAGATCATTTAAAAATTTATCGATTTAAGCAGTGAAAATAGAAAATCTTTGAAACTTTATCTGAAAACTATTTACAAAGTAAATGCAAATTGCACTTACCAAATATTTGCACAAGTAAACAATAAATTTTAATTTTTTTTGTAAATTTTTTAAGTATAATTGAAAATCTTTGAAACTTTGAAAACTATTTACAAAGTAAATAAAGAGGATTTTTTTTAAAGAAATTTTATGTTAGTCCTCCAAATTTACATTAAATATTTTTATGTTTTCAGTGGAAATTATAATTAAATATTAAAATTTGTTCTCAAAAAAATTGTAAACATTGAGATCATTTAAAAATTTATCAATTTAAGCAGTGAAAATAGAAAATCTTTGAAACTTTGTCTGAAAACTATTTACAAAGTAAATGCAAATTGCACTTACCAAATATTTGTACAAGTAAACAATAAATTTTATTTTTTTGTAAATTTTTTTAAGTATAATTGAAAATCTTTGAAAGTTTGAAAACTATTTATAAAGTAAATAAAGAGAATTTTTCTTAAAGAAATTTTATGTTAGTCCACCAAATTTTCATTAAATACGTTTATATTTTCAGTGGAAATTATAATTAAATATTAAAATTTGTAAACATTGAGATCATTTAAAAATGATTCGATTTAAGCAGTGAAAATTGAAATTTTCAATGCAAAAAAAATAAATTGTTGTTGATGATGTACATTTGGTGGTAGTTAAATGTAGTGACAGTGACATCTGTCTTTATATCATTTTATTTTATTGTGTGCGTGGGTGGAAAAATGAGGATTTCCACGCGCGTTACTTCTCTTTGTTTTTATTTTATCGGGTCTTAAATCGGATCAGCGTTCGAAGATATTTATGGCGGAGGGAAAATGGAAAAGTTGTCGATTTAATCGCAGTTCGGTCCTGATTTATGCGGAACAAAAGAGGTCGAAATCGGTGCGCCGCCTCCTGCAAAAACCTCTCTCTTTCTCTCTCTGTGTTATTATACTCATAGGGTTTTCTCGCAGCATCCGATCCATACGTATTATATTTTTATTATCCCGGCGCTTTCTCTCTCCTTCTCCAGGGAATTAATATGTGCGAAATCGGGGGCGGCCGTTTTTTCTACCTGATTCTCTCTTTCTCGTACTCATGGATTTGTGTGTATATATATATGTGTTAGTATACGCCACGTTTTTTCGACAGGCGGAGAGAAGATTTAGTCGTCCGCCGTTAGGATTTTGGGGGGTGGCGGCGGATGCGCGCGACTGCGAAGAGTGTTTCGGTACAGTGTGCAGAAGAGAAGGATGAGAAAAAAAAATAGTATATATATATATTGTACAGGGTGGGGGCGGCGGTAGGCGTCGCGACGCCGCGGCTGTGTGTGCGCGCCAGGAGGGCGTCGGTTAAGTGGTCCAACAGCTGACGCCTCGAAGAACAGACCCATTTGTATATAATCTCCTCTCCGCCACCCCCCAACAAAATGCATCCCTTCTCGCTCCCTCTTTCACTCAATTCCATTTCTCTCTTTCTCTCCCTTACACATTGCTCCTTCGTCTGTTTCGCTCGCTCGCACGCCTGGGAGGCGCACAATCGGATCACGTAATCAATTATCGGGATTGTTTTCCACCGATTGCCGCCAGAAGTGCGGGAGGGCTTAATAATAAATTTCCGTTTCTCGAGAGGATATGCCACCCACTTCACTTCCAAGCATCTTCGAAACTTCGAGTAATTGCATTTGGGCGAGAGATTATTATTTTCTTTGGTGGATGCGCCGGGCGCATCTCAATCGAATCATCCCTTTTCTTATCGAAAATACACGACAATTCATAGAAAATTTACATGATTATTAATCTCAACACTATAAATATTCATAATGCGTAATAAAAATTTGTAGAAAATGATGAGGAAAGAATTTTTCCATTTGATTTTCAAAGCTTACTTGTGAAAACCCAAATATAAGTATTTTCTTCTTTTGTTTTTAAATATTGATATTTTAATAAAATATTGTAAACAATAACAATTATAAATTATAAGTAATTTCAATATTTTGGTGAAAAAAAATTACAATTTTCACTTTTTATCTTATATTTCGTAAAAATTAATATTCTCAATTAATAAATATAATTTTTTTCTGTTTTACAAATTTCTAATTATATTAAGAAAATAAACATTTTTGTTAAGTTTTCATTTTACTTTAGTTTAATCAAAGTTTTGTACATAATTCGAAATCTGTTTATTTCACACGCAATTGAAAATATGGAAATTAAAGTTAAAACTATAGAGAATAAAAGTGTGTGTATAATCATAAATGTAATTTGAATAGTTATTTAATAAATTGCTGTCAAATTTAAGTCTATAACTCACAAATTATTGATAACAAATTGATTACAAAAGTTGTAAATTGAAGCTAAATGTATGGAGAATTATATCATTGTCAAAGTTAAAATTTAGTGTCTTCGTATTATTATAAATGTAGCATTAATAATAATTTTGTTATAAATTTCTGCCAAAATTGAAATTTTAAAATTATATTATTGAGAAAGTGTCTTTATAATTTACTCAATTACTCGAAATTTATTAATAACACATTTAACGTGAAACATGGAAATTAAAGCTAAAACTATAGAGAATGAAAGGTGTGTATACTCATAAATGTAACTTGAATAGTTATTTAATAAATCGCTGTCAAATTTAAGTCTATAACTCACAAATTATTGATGAGAAATTGATTACAAAAGTTGTAGATTCAAGCTAAATGTATGGAGAATTATATCATTATCAAAGTTAAAATTTAGTGTCTTCATATTGTTATAAATGTAGCATTAATAATAATTTTCTTATAAATTTCTGCCAAAATTGAAATTTTAAAATTATATTATTGAGAAAGTGTCTTTTTTAATTTACTCAATTACTCGAAATTTATTAATAACACATTTAACGTGTAACATGGAAATTAAAGCTAAAACTATAGATAATGAAATGTGTGTATACTCATAAATGTAACTTGAATATTTATTTAATAAATCGCTGTCAAATTTAAGTATATAACTCACAAATTATTGATTACAAATTGAATACAAAAGTTGTAAATTCAAGCTAAATGTATGGAGAATTATATCATTATCAAAGTTAAAATTTAGTGTCTTCATATTTATAAATGTATCATTAATAATAATTTTCTTATAAATTGCTTCCAAAATTGAAATTTTAAAATTATATTATTGAAAAAGTGTCTTTATAATTTACTCAATTACTCGAAATCTATTAATAACACATTTAACGTGAAACATGGAAATTAAAGCTAAAACTATAGAGAATGAAAGGTGTGTTTACTCATAAATGTAACTTGAATATTTATTTAATAAATCGCCGTCAAATTTAAGTCAATAACTCACAAATTATTGATGACAAATTGAATACAAAAGTTGTAAATTGAAGCTAAATGTATGGAGAATTATATCATTATCAAAGTTAAAATTTAGTGTCTTCATATTATTATAAATGTAGCATTAATAATAATTTTCTTATAAATTTCTGCCAAAATTGAAATTTTAAAATTATATTATTGAGAAAGTGTC